GCGGAATCGTCAAGAACTGAGCTAGCTTAGTGTATGACTGACTATATGCGATGCTGAAAGTACAGGTGATGCTGATGAGGGCGGCAAACGGCACCACGAGTACTCCTTTGATGTGAGCGTCTGTAATATTGTTGTCGTCCTTTTGGAGGCAGAGCAGAGCATCCAAGGTGTCTTCACCATCGTCGGATAGCCGCCTCCTTGGATCGAGATGGTCATCTATGAGTCGTCTGCAGAAAACATCGAGCTTAAGAAAGACATCTTGAAGCCTGGCTTGCGTTCCTCTGATCACGTCCACCCACCCGAGCATGGCGAAGAAGTCTGCTACGAAGAAGGTGGCAAAGATTGCTTGACTCTCTTTGGCGGTGCGGTGGAAACCGTCGTGGCAGCGACCGCCAAAGGCGGTCCTGCAAGTGATATTGGCAGTAAGAGAGAGCAGCTCCTCACTCAGGTTGATGACGACCGTGTTGGGAGCACGAGAACGGATCGATTCCATGGTTCTCTCGACCTCGTCCTCTCTCACGGGTCTAAAGGACGTGATCTTCTTGGTGGCGAAGAGCTCCGTCACGCAAATCTTCCGCAGATCCCTCCAATGGCTTCCGTACGGGGCGAAGGCCACGTCGGAGCCGCCGAAGGAGAGTTTCGCGGTGGAGATGGTGTGAGGCCGGCTGCAGCACTCGAGGTCGTGGGTTCTGAGGACTTGCTCGGCCGACGCCGCGGAAGAGACGACCACAGCGGGGACATGGCCAAGCTTCAAGCGCATGACAGGGCCGTGTTTCTTGGAGAGTTCCCACAGGGACTGGTGCAGGAGGCTGCGGCCCAACTGGTGGAGGTTGCCGATGATGGGGAGCGTGTTTGGCCCTGGTGGGAGCTTCCATGCTGCGGTACCTTTCCTCCTACCTGAGAAGAGAAGTAAGGTTAGCAGAGGGAGGAGGAGAAGGAGAGAGATGTGAAGAGCTGCCATTGTGGAGCGCTACACTTCCACACGCAAGCAAGCAGCAGAAACGCTTATTTGGGGTTTGATCCTGTGGTGGTGTAGAATCAAAGTGATTGACTGATTTGTGTGGGCTTCCGATAGTGAAGTAAGAGGCTGTGGTATCGCACCGAAGACTTTCTAGCCAAAGGATGAGGTCACCACAAAGAAATATATCAAGGCCTAGTCATAGTCATAGCTTCCGGAATTGACACGGTTCCGACTTTTCAACATCACTAAGCAAAGTCGAATTCGAATTGGCGACATCAGTTCGTTCGGGTTCAGGTGATCAATTCATAAGGATAAAAACATGATATATCGGATTACATGATAAAAATCAATATCGTTCACTATGATTCCTAGAATATTTATTTAAATTTTTCTCTTGATTTTTCAGAATTTATAACATAAGATTACCTTTAAATATCATTCACTATTTAATCTCCTATGATTTTTTTTTGTTATTTACTAAAAGAAGATTTGTCAAAAACAACTCATAACTTGATCTTTTATTTTTTATGATTAAAATATTGATGTAAACTTATCGTTATTATTAATATTTGTTATGGTCTAAAAATTGATGTAATTTTTTTTTTTACCATTGTATTCCTCTTTTTGATAATAACACGGGGAGAGAAAGAATTGCTAGCTCAAGATGTAAAACTTTCAAACTTGTACATTGCAAAAGGAAGAAAAAATTGCTAACTTACAATCTAAACAAAAAAATGTTATCTTACCCGACTCAAGAAGCAAAATTTGTAAACTTACACATTGCAAAAAGAAACAAGAATTGCTAGCTTACTTTTCAACAAGAGATAAAAATTACTACTTGAACTTATGATATAAGTAATAATATGATGTATTACATATAATTCACGATTGAAATTATGTCATATTAATAGGGGGAGTTTAGTTTAAACTTCGTCATCAATTGATTGTCATCATAAAAAAGAGGGAGATTGTTAAATCTCATATTTTGATGATGAAATCAATTGATGAGTTTGTAATCTAATATACGTTTTGAGTGACGTAGGACTAGTTTCGATCAAGGAGAGACGGATTGATTGAAGTAAGAGGCATCAAACGTTGGGCCAGAGTTGAACATGCCAGGAGATTAGACATCGGGCTGAAAGATCAGTTAACGTGCCAGCAGAAGGGCTTCATGCAGTGAGTTCGGGCATCGAGCTAAAGGATCGGATATTATGCAAAAGAGATTGAAAGTTGCGAGAGTCAATATGCTGATTGGGCAATACATCGAATGAGAGAACGATGCACCAAAGGATCAAACGAAGTGCCAGAAGAACCAATGACATGTCGGATAACATATGATTTGTGTTTTGTAATAATTTGTCTAGATCGAGTTAGTTTAGATCTAATTGAGTTGGTATTGGGATGAAACAATGTCAACTCAATTAGGGGCCAATTGGGCCTGAATCAGGACTGAATTGAGCTTGTTGTTTCACCCATTCAATGTCTTATAGTAGGGTCTTGCAGAGGTACCACCCAGATTAAGTGGTGGTACTATCCAGATACAGTCTCCTAGATTGTGTCAGATGGTGGTACCGCCTAGATACAGTCTTCCAACTACCGCTTGACATAATCTTTCAAACTATGTTAGGCGATGGTACTACCAGATTGACCGATGGTATTGTCCAGTGTCAGTGTGTCAAGCGGTAGTACCGTCTAGTGTCAAACTGGCAGGTGATGGTACCGTCCTGTACTTACGGTGGTACCCTCGGTACCTTGAAAATCTAGATGAGATCATTTTGACTCTAAATTTGAATCCATTTGGGGCTTCCACTCATCCCAATCCGATATGATCTCTTCTTCGCCATTTATATCCTGCTTTCTCTTTATATTGTTTATTTATTTGGCTACACAATCCACTTTACACCCTTTTTATGTTAAACGGATTTAATCAAAATAAAGTTTTTTTTTAATCGGCATCGTTTATACATTTGACCACTTTAATTGTTCACCCTCTTATTACGCTTATAGGCCAATTTAGCTCTGCACATTGTTGAAATGCACTATGAACCGATTCAGCCTTATACGAAATCAAAATATGCTACGGGCTGATTCAGCCTTGCATGTCGTTGAAATATGCTATGGGTTCAATTTAGCTTCGCACATCATCAAAATATGCTGTAGAATGTTCCAAATATTTGTACATGCAGTCGCTTGTGTGAGGCTTCATCGGTATCTTTGCAAGTAGGCATATGACCTTGGTGGTTGCATGAAATCTAACAAGATTTGGCTCCTGACATCCCACAACCTACTAACGAGTTTGAGATTTCATCTATCCGGTGATACTTCTATCTATTGGAAAGAATAGAAGATAAGAAGAATTATTGAAGAAATTTTATTGAAAAAACTTGAATGCATTAACATGTTCCTCTCCTATTTATACAAATTAGGAGGGATGATTTCCCTCAATGGAATAGAAAATTTTCCTCAACAAAATAGAGAGATTTCCTACTATCATGCCCCCGCAAAATGGTGCTCCTGTTAAGGATACCAATCTTGGATCAATGCAAAACAAACAGTTTATGAGCGAGAGACTTCATGAGTAGAGCAAGAGCATATCGCTGCTACTGTTGCTGTTGCTGCGGCTGCGACGACGACGGCTGCAGCAGAGGAGAAAGCTATAGCAATGCTATAGCAGAGGAAGAAGCCGCAGTAGAGGAGGAAACTACAGCGATGTTGCAGTGATGCTACAGTAGAGGAGAAAGCTACAGCATAGGAGGAAGCTACAGCAGAGGAGCAGTAATGCTACAGTAGAGGAGCAGTAATGCTATAGTAGAAGAGGTAGCTACAACGATGCTATAATAGAAGATAAAGTTACAGTAGAGGAGGAAACTGCAGTGATTTGGTGGAGAAACCTGTAGCGATTTGCTCTTAGCAGGAGCTGAGGATCGACAGTTGACAATGAGGCAGCGAGCTACGATTGATACTAATAATAGCCTGATGAAGACGATGCTATAACGACGGACAACCTGAGCCTGGGGTCGGTGCAAGTGGCGCCGATGAAGAAGAAAGCCGCATGGAGGAGAAGAGGGAATGAGCGGGCAGGGGTTGGAGAGGGATCCACTACCGAGGGCGAGTAGCCGACTGCACTAAAATAGGCCCTCATTGTTATGGCCGCACTGACGTCGGGTGTAGTCACGGTAGCGGCTAGGGTAGCAGTGAAGGCATAACGCGTCGTACAGTGGACGATCGTACAACGGACGGAGAGGGGAGTCCGGCGAGAAAGAGTTATCCCCTTCTCTGCTCTGCAGAGGTAAAGGATGTGGTGAATGACAAGCTTCAATGGCCGTGGAGCCTCTTTGTTCTACTCTGATACAATATTGGAAAGAATAGAAGATAAAGAAGAATTATTAAAGAAACTTGAATGCATTAACATGTGCCTCTCTTATTTATACAGATTAGGAGGGAGGATTTCCCTCAACGGAATAAAAGATTTTCCTAACAGAGTAAAGAAATTTCCTCGTATAGTTGAAGAAATCTTATCTGCTATCACTATTATTGAAAGTCAGTCAGTGATGGGGTGAGTAAGGGAGAGGAGGGTGTGGTCGCTTCATTTTGGAACATCAATGGCATGAGTCGGCCCTAGTAGGTTCTAAGGGAGGTCACCCATTGGAGTCGAAGCATGTTGCACGAAAGGTTGGCAAAGGCCTATACATGAGGCTGACAGAAGATCTCATTGTTGATGCCACAAGCAGGTCGTCACGGTGAGTGGCCAACCCCACTGCCGTCTCTCTCTCTCTCTCATTTTGGTGCCCTTCCTTTGTAGAGAGAGATGAGTTGAAGAATAAGATGACCTAGAGTGAATGCTACTACAACAAGTTGGGCCGACTCCAGTTTCGGCTCGACAAGTTGGAGCACCATATCAAGGCAAGATGAGACTTAGTCATGGAGCTTTATAAGTAGGTCAAAGTCTACAAGTAGTCAACCGATGAGGCGAGGGCCAATAGAGTCATTAGAAAGACACACTAAATGTTCGGGTTTGGACAATCGGCAAAATAAGTTCTGCCATTGGCGGAGGAGAAAGCAGTATCTATTAGGGTGGAGAGGAGTAGCGTAGAGGTCATGCTAGAGCGGAGAAGCTGGCAAGGGCACTAGCTGAGTTGGTGGTGGAGAGTGACAGGAGGTGATGGATCGAGTAATGGAGCTACAATAAAGGGTGATAGAGATGGTGGTGGCGGAGGGGAGCTCGTGCAGTGCTCCAGAGGATATGGTTATGCAACTATCGTGATTAGGTAAAAAGATGTGACAGAGTAGACGAAATGGGAATGATTCCTCTCCACATCATCACTTCCATGTTGGGCTGATGGCCCATATTCAGCCCATGTGGGCTTTATCAGCCCACAACCCACACCCTCTCTTAACCTAACCCTAATTAAGATTAGGGGGGTGTGGTGGCTGCGTTTTAGAGGCAGATTAAGGCTATAAAAAGGCAGCAACGAGGCTGATCTTTGGGGCCACGGGATTCCAAA